TGTAGTCCACGAAAGCTTATGCTCTAATAAATTTGTTAGTCTCTAAGGTGCCACAAGTACTCCTGTTCTTTTTGTGAATTTGGTAGGGCCCTACCCCTAATTGATGTCCTGGAGCTGGATTCACCCTCTGGTGGGCTCCTGATGTTCACTGGCTGACCTCCGAGGCGGCAGAGCTGCAGGCTGAAACAGGTTGGGGCCAGGGGAGGGGGGGAGGAGATGTGAATTTCTACTGGTGGAGTGGATGGTGCTGGCTTGATGGCGAGACTCATTCCCATGTATCAAAAGAACAGCTTACGTCCTTTGGCAGCAGCAGGGCAAGCTTCCCCTGCCTGTGCGTCTCAGCCTGAACCTCGACAGGGCCCCCTCTAGTGGTGAGAGGGGAGTTCAGTCACACTGGCTCTTTGGGGTCAGATGGTGGCTGAGCCTAACAGAGATGCCAGTTCATGCCAAGTTGATGGTGGTGGTTCTGCAACACCGGTCCGCACTAGGCTGAAGACCCACCAACTCATTTCACATGAGAAGCCAGGGGCTGACATCTAGCCACTTTCTATCATTGTCAGACTGTGGTGGTATTGTTTGCCCTCCTAAAGCTCATTCAGTGACTGGCAGGGAGGATCCCAGTTGTCCGTTTCTCCCCCGCCCCGAAGTTCAGCAGTGAAAGAGGCTGGTCTGAGCCTTCCTCCTCACTAAAGCTGACAAAGAGCATTTCCTAGAAGGCTAAAGAACTTGCCTTGAACGTGGGCTGACCCAGAAGGCTGCCTAGGAAATACCAGGGCTTCAGCACGCAGCCTCCTCCCCCTAGGCATAAGGGCTAGATGAGGGCACATCATGCCCAAGCTCTATGATGGCTTCCAAGTCAATTTTGTGTCGGCTCCTGACCCTTCTCTCTGAAGCCCTGATGGGCTGTACCTTGACTCAGAGACCACCTCTCCCTACATATCCAACCGTGACAGCATTGGTCTCTGGGGATGATATGTGGCTGACCACGTGCAAATCTCACCTCATGGGAGCTTGGCGTTTGTGGTACAGGCCCCTGTCTGTGAAACACTGCGTCACCAATAATCAAGCTAAGCATGAGTCTTGCAACCTTCACAGACTCATCTCTTTCAGAAGACCTCAGCCCGCCAAATAAGCTGTGGAAGGGCCCGAGCAACACTACTGCTGCAATTAACTATGCCAACTGAACGGCTCAGGAGCCAGTTGGTGCAATCTGTGGCGAGGGGACAGGAATTTGAATACCCTCCTTGAAGGCCTTGTTGTTGTTCTAAATGTACATGCTGGTGCCTACATATTACAGTGATAGGTGTCTTAGAACTGTGCAAATAACCAGAAAAGAGCTAGAAAAGTCCTGTTAGGTTATCCAGTCCATCTCCTGCCCAGAGCTGTAATAATTTGACTTAATAATTATTAGATCAGGGAACTGGGGACTATGACTCCTGAGTCCTTATGCCCTACTCAGCAAGCCATGTCATCTCTCTGGGCCTCAGTTTCCCCATCAGCAAATGAAGATGATACCCAT